AAAAACAAACAAAAACAAATGATCAAGTCCCTTAAAGAAAATTGCCCAAAGACATTTAACGTCGTTGCAATTATGGTCTAAACGATGACCCGCGCCTGTCCCTTTCACATCCTAACACAAGATTGTCCACCAAATACAATGGTGGAACAAACTTGTTAAAAGGGTTAAAACATAGCAATAAATCTTTTTGAGAAATTTAGGAGTAGACAACCTCTTAGTGACTTGAATCAAACTTGCAAAACAAAACACTTGCCTAATTTCAAAATCACACATCACTACACTTTCAAAACAACTTTCAAAAACAAATGAAAACTTTTTCAAAAGACATACATCTTTGTATACATCCCCACATGGATCATTACAAAGATTGCCACCACATTGGCCTCTTTTCAAAACATTTTCAAATCCACACACACAAAGCACCATTTCAAACAAATTGAAAACAAAAGGCAAGTGATCTAAGCAAGTAACTAAGAGCCCATGGATAACCATGGATAGAAAGGGTGCTAATACCTTCCCTTTCTATAATCTACTCCCCGAACCCAAGAAAACATCTCAAAAGGTTTTTGCTGTGCTTTTTAACCTTTCCTTAGGATAAAATAAAAAGTCGGTGGCGACTCTTGCTAACCGCAACATTTGCGAATACAAACGCAAAACCTCAAGTCAGTTCTCCCACCGTATCACAGATAGGATCAGAACTTATGTTATACCTTGATGTATTTTTATGCCATGCCTCTTTGATTTCTTATTATTTCTCGCTTACCTTCCTTCTTCACTTCTTCAAGTTTGTTTGTGAGATCTCCATCTCTTATGTGTTCTATCACATTGACTTGCATGCTTAGTGATGTTTTATCATCCTTCTCTTTTCTTTAAGACTTGATGTTTTATCATCTTAATATATGTGTGCTTGGTGTTTTATCATCTAGCCCTTATCTTTGATACTAGATGTGTTATTATCTTTGTGTGATGTTTTATCATCTCCTCTCTTTTTGTTTTAGGTATCTACCTATGCGATTGCTTATTTGATGTTTTGTCATCTTCTATTATGGTGTGCTACCATCATTATTCTTCTTTTTATACTTGATGTGTTATCATCTTTGTGTGATATTTTATCATCTCTTCTCCTATATTTACTTGCTTATCTAAGTAGGTATTTTCTTGGTACCTTGTCTAAGTGCCTTATGTTATGTTTGCTTGCTTTCATTATCTCATTTAAATATGATTGTCTGCTCTTACTTTTGTATGCTCCCCATAGGATCTTTAGTTAATTCTCCTCTAAGTTTGAACTAAATAGACCTTAGGTTAAGAATTCATGCATGAAAACATTAGGTAGATCTCCCTCTCATCCCAACTTTAGGTCCACAAGCATGACAACTTATAGGATTGAGATCCCCTTTTGTTTAGTCTTTCTATTTTGCATTCGTGTTAAAACTAAAACTTATTTTCTTCTTAAAACCTCTCAAAACACTTAATAACTAATGATGAGAATCACACTTCCATAAGCAATGAAAAAGGATGAGTAGGTTGAAGCTTGTTCTTTATTCATAGTCTTTGGTGTGGTGAGAATCACAAATTCTTTTCACAAGTAACAAAAACACCAACCAATTTAAATCTTTTTGTCTTCAGACTATTTTTTTTAACCTTTTAGAAAAGGACATGTTTCGCTAGCATTGTTCATAAGAAACACACAACAAACCAAATCACCTTTTTAGGTGATATAAGAGTTCCCTGGTCCCCTATTGCACGAAAGGTGGTACGTAGGCACAAAGGTTCGCAACCCCGACAAAACAACTAATAAAAATTTATTTTTGTATATACTCTGCATGCATTCCTTTAGAATTAGGCTTTAGATTTTTACACATCCTTAGATTAGTGCAAACTTAAGTGGATCTTACGAAGTACCAAAGACGTGAGGGATGCTAATACCTTCCCCTCGCATAATCATCTTTCTTACCCTTTCTCTTGGTTGCAAAACCATGTTCTTTCCCTTCTTTAGGTTTACTCAGTGTTTCCTTTCCCCCTCTTCGATGAAAATCCTAGACGCGACAGCAATCGATAAGTTTAAGTTTAGAAAGGTTGTGATTAAAATCAAAACATCCCCATAAGTATTTCTTAGAGAACAAAAATTAGAGTATTGTCGAATAGACAGTCCTCACATTCCAACAATTATAAATTTAGCTATACATGTTTGTGAAATGCGATAAAAGAATTGATTCAATGGTGAAATAAGACATGGTTGATAAATTGAATAAGACTTTAAACATGCAATTAAAATAAATGTAGAAGAAGAGCATGCGATTAAATAAAAGTGTGATAAAGAGACGATAAAATAAAGTGGTGTGATTAAATAAAAAGCTGCTCTGAAGAAACTTTAATTCTGGTACATGAAGTAAACTTATTAAATTTGAATGCGGAAAGTAAATGACAACAAGATTAATGCTTCAAATAAAGGTGCTCCAAACTTGATTACAGACTCGATCAATGATGTGATAATTCTCCGATGTGAAAAGTTGATCACTTACAATTTCGACAATATGTGGCTTAAATTTGTAACTAAGCTTGGATGCTTTGAAAATGAAAGGTAGCAATGTTTTTTTAGAGTTCTTAAAGCCCTAAAATCACAAAAGAGGTTTTCGAGTGCGCATAGAGAAACTAGGAGGAACTGGGGTAAATGCGTTGACCAAGAAATCCCAAATTTTATCTGCCTGGTATTTGTAACGTGTAGCGGTCGCCACACCCTCCATGGCGAACACCATGCTCATAAGGCGGATAAGACTTGGTCTTTTGATTGTTGAGACGTGGATCATTGATGGCCACCTCTATGGCGAACACCATGGTGGTCACCTTGTGTGTATTTTTCCCTAATACTTCCATTTTCCGTCTGTTTTACTTTGTTTCTTAGCAGATAACTCCCCTTTGATCATTTACCAGAAATACAAACAAAATACCAACATAATAGTGGAAAAAGGAATAAATCAACAATAATGCATAAGTCGAGTCAAGTATTCAGTATGTTTTGGCCCTATCAAAATCCACCTACAAACAATTCTTTTTTTACTTAGAAATAGATAGTCTTGAATTCATCATTGCACCAGAGGATACGTAGAAGCGAGATCCAACATATTATCAGACACAATAATAAAAAAAACCTAAAAATCCTTTTTTCTTTCTTTCTTTCTTTCTTTCTTTCTTTCTTTTTCACTTAGTAATAATTAAGAGGAAACAAATATCACGCTAACATTCTTTCGTAAAACAAACTAAATAGGTTTCATTGAGTACAACAGATGTGAGCTGTGTTAATATCTTCCTCTTGCATAATCGACTTCGAACCCTCTTTTGGTTGCGACAATCATATTTTCGTTCATTGAGGATTTTATTGATATTTTTCGTTTTCTTTTGGAATAAATAAAGTTCGGTGGTGAGTCTGTTGTATTTCAAGTGTGCGATACTCTTGGGTATTTTTTTCGTCGCAACTGTGTGGAACTTCCTCCTTTGAAGGATTTTTTCCTTCTTTATTCCGATTGTACAACTTGGCTTTTCTCAAAGTTGATGAGGCGGGGTATTGGTTCAACGATTCTTGGGTGTAAGATATTAGTTTCAATGGGGTGGTCTTGAATGACGAAGATGATTTGTTGTTAGAGGAGTTATTGTTGCTTTTGTATGGGGTGAAGCCTAAGCCTCATGAAGAAGATTGTTTTGTTTGGTGGAGACATAAAAATGAGTTTTCGGTTAAAGATTGCTATAAGAGGATTAGTGAATCTTGTTTTTTGGTGCCTACCTTGGATCCTCTTAAATAAAAAACGTTAGATTGTTTATGGAAGTCTAAAGTTCCTAGTAAAATCTTTATTTTTGGTTGGAGATTAATTCTTAATAAATTTCCTACAAGGATGGAATTGACCAAACAGGGAATCATTGAAGGTCCTCACAATGTGGTTTGTCCCTTGTGTTTTAAGAAAAAGGAGGATATGGAGCATTTGTTTTGTTCTTGCTCTTTTTATAATCTCTTATGGATGAATTTTTGTGTGTGGATTGATGTTGATGCTTCGTCTCTTGGGGATTGTTTGTTGGTTAGACTTCAGCATTTGAATTCTACACACTTCTTTTTGATTTTCTGGACTTGTATTTTGTTGGTCTATTTAACATTGTAAGAATTCTATTCTTTTCAAAGGTAGTGTTCTTGTTGTCATACCCCAAATTTGCCCTACCCTAATCTAGGATTTTCTTCAAATAAATTTTATTATTTAGTTTTCACTTTTATAGGGGTATTTAAAGTCAAAGGGGTGTGTTGATGTAAAATAGACCATCAATATCTGATGGTCTATTAAGTCTTAAAATTTGTTTCAAGTTTAAAAAAGAGGTGTATTGTTTTAATCAAGGACGTGTGGACAAATTCGTTTTTAATAAAGCCCATTACAAGTTTTTGATTTATTTTAAGAAAATGTTTGTTTACTTAAAATAATTATTATTATTATTATTTTAATCAATTATTATTATTATTATTATTATAATTATTTAGTTAGAAATAATGTCATTATTATTGTTATTAGTGTACAACTATTAACTATTCCGATTTTATTATTATATTTAAACATTATTATTATTATTGTTTATTTATTGTTATTGAAAATGATTTTTTTTTTAAAACATCAAGACCATTACGGATCTTCTTAATAGCCCAAAAAATTGAGAGTCAATTTCTGACTCTTATTATTTTTATTAATCATTATTTTATTAATTATTACTGTCATGTTTAAAACATTTTTTTATTATTATAATTTGGGAGAAAAGAAAAAAAACTATTACTGTTGGAATTGTTAAAACACAAAACGAAATAAATCCAAACAAACCCAGACTCTTTTTTTTAAAATTGTCCCAGTGCGTTCAATAAAAAATCAGGACTGTATCAACTCGAAATTGAATTTTTTTTTTTCATTCAAACCTTGAATCCACAAGCAGAAACAAATTAAAAGTGTTACAGACAACTTTATTGTTTCCCTAAAATGCTAGGACAGCATAATCAAACGTTTTTCTTTCCTAATCTTCAAACCTCTCTCCAGCCATCCCTGCAAACACCACTCCGACGCGATTCCGGCCGGCCTGCTACTATCTCCGACGCAATCCGCCGCCTCCAAACGGAAACCATACGCATTCACCTGCATCTAACTCGCCAGCAACTCCGCCCGAAACCCATTGCGGCTGGAATGAAGAACAAGGCAGAGAGGAGAAGAACATGTCACTGATGCAAAAGGTTTTGAGTTTTGTTTTTTTTTATTATCTTGTTCAATATATAATACCCTGTAATACATCTTTGTTTTTATTGTTTTTATTATTACTATTGTTACCCCATGTCACGTTTCTAATGGCTGGGCTTTTAATTTATTAAAATTCATCCATGCTTTACTAAAATGAAAGAAGTAAACAGAAGAGCATCCAACGACGCCTCTCTCCCAAAATGAGGTGTCTTTCTTCTTTTTATTTTTATTACCATTTATTCATTGAAGAAAAGTAGGGTTTTACTATCATGGGCTTTGGGCCACTAATTTCCTCCTATTCATATTTTTACTTACTTCAACTCAGTTCTAATTTAGCAACCCCCTGTTTTTGTTTAGTTAATATTGTTAATCATTCTAATTAATTAATCAATTGTTAGGTGGATTAATTTGTAGGATAATATTCATTATGATAATTTTATTAGGTTTTAAGGAATAACTAACTCGTACATAATCAAACACTTTAAATAAAATCAATAATATCTTTAAAAATAATAGAATATCTATCTTCGAGTAATTAAATTGGTTGACACGTTATCTATCAGTTCATTATACTAAATCAAACAATTGAAATCCATGCAACTCGCTAAAATTCACCAACGAGCAACACGTGGTTAATATCTGGCCACGTGATGAGAACACGTGATGAGGAAGACTATATCAGACTTCCTCCGCATCCTTCATGATGAGTAACACGTGGACAATATCTAGTCACGTGAGGAGGAGACTATACCAGACTCCCTGCTCCACGTCTTAATCAAATCAAATACCAAAACAGCTAACCAACGATCAAACATTTTTCAACTAACATAATCAAAATCCAAGATCATTTTTCAAAAAATATTAAATAGCATTGTCTTCGAATCAAATTATGAACTGCATCTATAATCACTCAACTTACAACCCAAATAAGGTTCAAGGTTATTCGAAAGCAATTCTATGCAATCTTATAAAAGACACCAACCAATACCGCGAACTACGAAAATGAGACTCTGATTCCTCCTAAAGAGGATACGTAGGCATACGATCAAAAATCGTTGTGAGTCCCCCTAACTAAAATTCAAACCCTTTTCCCTTATTATTAATAATTACCCTATTTCTTAAAAATAATGTTTCTAAACCTAGTATCCTTGCGAACAAGGTAGATAAGGGGTGCCTAACACCTTCCTATCGTCTAGAACCGAGTCAAACTTAGAATCTCTAAATTTCTTTTAGGGTTATTCCTTTATACTCCCTTCATTTAGGATAAAAATTAAGGGCGGCGACTCTATCTAAAAACTAGTTGCAACACTTGTAAAGATGGATGTGTTGAATTTTACTAAGGTTTTATCTTGGGATTGATTCATTGTCTTTCATAGAGAAGGGAGGAAATTTTCTTAGCTTGATTGGTGTAACAATCTTAGGATTTGTTGGGAGTAATTTTTTGTATTCTTAGTAGGTGTTTTTGTTTGTGTTTGTAGGTTGGTATTTTTTTCTCCTGACCCCCCCTTGATTGTATACCCCTAATGTTTATTTTTAATGTCAAACTGCCATTTGCTTATAAAAAAATTCTTCCATGAAGGTTGAAGTTTCTGCTATGTCAAATACAAACTATAAAGATATACACATAAAATTGATAAAATCTAAAAGAAAAAACAATAAAAATATTAAATATACAACAACTCAAAAGAATACAAAAATATTCCAAAACAAAAGTTAGGGGTTTTAACCTAAAATAATATCTAAATTCCATTAACACTTCATTTTTCATTAAAAGCTATTACTATTATTTTGTCTTTTGTTTTTTTCTATCAAAACCCACTATAAATTTGTTTTAATTTGAACTTACAATTATGCGAAGGGAAGTACTAGTTCAAAATAAGTATAGGAAGGTCCTTAAAAATTTCAAGGTTGTAATATAGCATTGATGTTGTCGAAGTTAAGTGATTGGATTGAATTAAAAAGAACAATAGATGTGGTGTCATTTACTATTCCTTTGCCAAATACAATAATGTAAAGAAAATATATTTCAACTTGACTGAGAATGCTATGGAGAAATATCATGTCAACATATATAACCGTATAGCTTAAAGAGAGATGATAACTAATAGCAATGAATAGTAATTACAACTAGATAATTTAACTTTCATGATAAAGCTGTAACAAACTTGCCAATCATTCTAAAAAATATTAAAGAATAATTTGAATGATAAAGAAAAAACTATCTTAGTAGATAACATTAATTCTATAGAAATATGTAATAGAGCGATTAACTTTACATAATGTTATTTCCCAATAAAAAAAATCCTTATGAGAACTATTGTTAAGCATTTGAACATCGTCTTCTTTTATGAACCCTCCTCCTCCATTAATTTCCAACAGTTCCTTTGCAAAAAGTTCTGGCCAAGACATCTCATCACCATCATCATCATCATCATCATCATCATCATCATCATCATCATCATCATCATCATCATTATCACCATCTTCTTCTTCTTCTTCTTCTTCTTCTTCTTCTTCTTCTTCTTCTTCTTCTTCTTCTTCTTTATTCATGATGATATCACTTCCATCTTTATTGTTATATCTGCACTCTTCTGGCCATGTACTTCTTATACATTTTCTTTTTTCTCCATTATATGCAAACTTTATGTCATCCTCGTAATTCTTCTTGTTTCCACCATCATTTGATTGAGTTATTGCTTCTTCATAAATAATATATTTTTTCACCAAAACATCATTACCCTACGTAACAACAATCCAAAAAAACAGACATAAATTTATGACTTTTTCTCTAAAATAATCAAAACCTTGAATATGCATAAAATCAATTGATAATTAATCGTTAATAAAGCAATACAATATTAATAAAATCTTACAGATATGACTGGTTCTGCTTGTTTAGGAATGATAACATCTCTTTCTTTAGCAGTCTTTTCATTACTCTCTTGCTCAAAATAATTTTTTGTTCTTGAATTTTTTCTTAAATGAGAATTATATTGATCAGTTATACTTGATTTTGCTTGTGTATTTTGTGATTCCGGTTTCAAATTCTTTCTAAGTTTGCATAGTACATAATTATTGGCCTACCAAAAAAAAAATATTAATCAATATTTTTGACTCAAAACTGACTAATGTTCACAAAAATTAATAATGTGACATAAAAGTTTCTTACCAGAGTATTGTTAATCAAAGATTTGTGGAGGTTATATTCGTGCAAGATCCATCCACCATCTTGAGGAGTGTTACTCTTCTCGAAACGAAAACGTTTTTTCAGATCGAGAAGTTGGTTCGTTTCTTTGGCAAATATATTTTTTCCGGTGTCTTCACCTTCCCAATTACCATTGCCAATAGTGCGAACGGAGCATGTGCTCGTAACAGATTTTTTCTTTAAGGTGGTAAAGAAATATAGGTCTTTTCCGTCATATGAGTACGAAGCTTCAAACTCGTTCCATATATCCAAGGGATTCTTGTTAGTATCGAACAAATCATGTTCGAGAATATTGAGATAATTGAGAATTGGTTTATTGTTAATTTTGTTGTAGAGGAATTTTTGAAGAAGTTCATCATCGGTTGGCATGCAAACCTTACTTGAACGAGAATGGAGAGCCTTCATGATACTTCGAGATTCAATGGAATACTCAGGTCACGTTAATAAGCTCAAAAAAAAAAATTACTAATCGTATACTTCAAATATAAAGAATCCAAAAGATTTTGATAAATAATTTTTTTAAATTTAAATTTAAATAAAATCTAATCTAATATAATCTAATTATGTCAATAAACTGAAAAAAATAAATTGTATACTTCAAATATAAAATTTACGTAAATAACATTTTTTATTATTAAATTTGAATCACATCCAATCTAATATAATCTAATTATGTTAATAAGTTCAAAAAAAAGAAATCGTATACTTCAAATATAAAGAATTCCAAAAGATCTTCATAAATAAAAAAATTTAAATTTAAATTTGAAACAAATCCAATCTAATATAATTTAATTTAATTTACTTATAAAAGAAAAAACAAATTATAATAAATCGCTTTGTTTATAGCGTAAAAATAGCCGGTTAGGTTAGTATTAAGAAATCGAGACCAATAAACTTTATTTTATGGGTTTGACTTTTATATTTTTGGATTCGTTGACTTTTATATCTTCTCATTTTACTGGGCCAACAGTCCATATTTTCTTGAAGTGCTATTCCTTCAGCTCTAATGGTTTCGTAATCACTCTTCTGTACTTGTTAATTATATTTTCTTTTCTTTTACAGATTCTAATACTATTTCATAAATATATGGAAATATATTATAGATGTTAATAATAAAATTTTAATTAATTAACTTTAATGATAGTATCAAAAGGACAATTTATATTGTGGAGTTGTCACTTATGCGTAGAATAACTTTTTTCTCGCTTTTTTATTTTTATTTATTTTAGAATAAAATATTTAATATGGTTTTATTTATTTAAATTAAAATAATAAATAATAAACTTTAAAATTTATCTCTTCAAAACCATTGTGTAGTGTATGTTTTAGAAATTTCTTATTACATTTTTATATGAGAGGAAAAAACTCTTAAAATTCTAAAATACTCTTCCGATATAATCTAATATTTTATTTTTAGAGTTTTTCAAATATATATATCCGAAATAAATCCAATATTATGTTTTCAATAGTTTTTAGATATGCATATTCGAATTAATGAAGTGTTAAAAAAATTAAAATCAACGTGTATCAATTGTATTAATTATATTACTTAAAATATGCTTTCGAAAATATATTATACTATTTGTTTAAGAGGTGTCAATTCAACAATAAAAATTTGACTTTATAAATTTAAACTATAAAGTTTAAATTTCAATAGTGATTGTTATAAAATAATTATTAGTGTCATCATTATATAAAAAAATCATTATATTTATTATTAAAATATTACCTGAACATTAATATTTTTAAAAACATATTTTATGAGAAATTAAAATAGAACAAA